GACAATGACATAGGTTTTTACACTTTCATTAGATACTGTAGATGGTCTTTGTCTGCCGTACCTCTACAGTATTCAATGGAAATATAAAAGTTTATTTTAAAAACCTACCTTCAAAGCTTGGAGGACAGTCTGCCGGTAACGTGAATGCGAATGGGAATGAATGAGTCCCAGATGGAATTGTACCCTTCTTTTCCTTATCATCTGGGGCCCAAAGACAATGTTCCTCCTGTGCGTAAGTAACACCTGCAGCGTACAGTACTTTGGCGCTTCTGCCATGAACCGAACTACAAATCAGTGCTTAATTGTGTAATTGCAGACGACACTTTTAGAGGAATGGGATAAACCTACTCTATGCCATAGACGGACACCCACCATTCCGTTACAGCGCCAGCTCGAAGAAAGATGCGTATTGATTTAGCCTAAACACTTGAGGGTTAGGTAATCATACAGTTACCAATTTGGGTAGACTTACCTTGAGTGGGTGCTCAGCGTTTATGTTGAGTGTTCCTTCCACTTTCTCACCGGGAACAAAGGGACGCTCACTATTTGCTATCTCAATACTTACGGACATCCCTGAAAATGTAAAGGGTAAAAATGCAGAGGCTAACCTGGATAGGCTTAACCTTTCGGCAGGTAAGGCTGATGAGAAAAATTGAAATGCAACTTAGGAACAATAAAAGAAGAAATTTGCCAGAATTCTGCTATTGGTAGACTTGTTCGAGAAAACAAAAGAAATTCAATCACTGTCATGCGTATGTTCACACGGATATCCTCAGTTACATAGGTCATAGGATGGAATTTTCTAGAAAAAGTGTTAGGTATTGTATTTCGCCGAATCTTTGAAGTCGCGTTAGTCAGCTATTTGTAAAGTCGTTCGCCATGTCAAAAAATTCTAGTTTAGAATGCTATAGAGTTCCCAGACCATACTTAGACCTAAAAAAGCGAAGTAGAAGCGATTTGTAATAACATAGGTCTACCAGATATGACTCAATATTAAAAAGGCTTCCACATTGAGATCGAAATTAATCAAAATTTTTCATAAGATTGGAACATTAGAGTCTGCTCCAAAAAAT